AAGGACAATAGTATTTTGTTAATGTATTTGGTCCGAAATGTACTAGAAATAAAATATTTACTGAAAAATGTTTAAATTAAAGTAATAAAACAGTAATTAATCGCTTAGATTTGCCAAGTCTCCATCTCTAACTAACCTGAAATATCGTATGCTCTCCAGCCTTGTCTCTGTTTCTCTCTCTCTGTCTCTCTATCTCTCTCAACCAACTCCGATCTCTTTTATCTCCTATTCACGTCCATCTCTCTGCTCTATCACCGTTTAAATCTCTCAAAGTTGTACTCCTCTACAAAATTATCTACTCAATGAATTAAAAATGGTATGCTCTCTCATTCTCTGCATCATCAACCAATAAGTTTGTGTATTTGTAAAAGTCTTGACATTTTCATTCAAGATTGTTTCTTTTTGAATCTGGTTTCTTTTTCTTGAGATTTGATGGATGCCCATTTTGTTTTTCTATCATCTCTCTAGTCTGGTGTGGTTAAAAATGGCTTTGAGCAAGAATTTTTGAGGTTCTGGATTGGTGTATATTTGTAATGCTGTTGTTATACTTTGAAACTCTTGTGATTTCTTGAGATTGATGTTGGTTTTGTTTTGTCTTTGTTGATATGATAATGTCTGGTTCAGTGGTTCTTTGATTGATACTATGGTGGGTTTGAACTCTGAGTGCTTTCACTTTGGAAAGTTGGGTTCTTGGTGGATCATGAAATGGGAAATTGAGAGTCCTTTTTGGTTAGAATGAGAAGTGTTTGTTGATTATTGGTAGTATGGTTGAGTGAGGTAATGTCTACTTTTAATAGGAGCAAGTCAATAAACCAGAGGACCTTGGGTGTTGGAACCCCAAGAACTGCTAGTTTCGGAAGCCCCAGAGTAAAATTGACCTCAGTCTCGCATTGGTTTCGATGGCTTGTTGTGATTGGAGCTTTGTTTCCATTTTCTATTGCCATTGCTGGAGGTTACTTTTATCTTCTTCCAAGTCTTACTCAAGCATTTCAGGGTTTTGGTACTTCCAAGTTCAATGATTCGATGGAAGAATGCAATCTCTTTGATGGAAATTGGGTTTTCGATGAGAGTTACCCTTTATACAATGCTTCAGAATGTCCTTTTGCAGAACAAGGATTCAATTGCTTAGGGAATGGAAGGAGAGATGAGGATTATCTTAGATGGAGGTGGAAACCCAAGAGGTGTGAGATTCCACGATTCAATGTACATGATATTTTGGAAAGGCTTCGAAATAAGAGAGTTGTATTTGTTGGTGATTCTATGAGTAGAACACAGTGGGAATCATTAATATGTTTGCTCATGACTGGAGTGGAGGATAAAAACAGTGTTTATGAAGTCAACAATCATAACATAACAAAACGGATTAGATTTTTAAGTGTCCGATTCGACTCCTTTAATTTCACAGTTGAGTTCTTTCGCTCGGTTTTCTTGGTGCAGCATGTTTGGATGCCTAGACATGTGCCAAGGAGGGTTAGGTCGACACTTAAACTGGACAAGTTGGACGATATTAGCAACCAGTGGGTAAATTCGGATATTCTCATATTCAACACAGGACATTGGTGGGTGCCTGAGAAGCTCTTTGAAACGTAAGTTCTCCAACCTAAGTTTTCATTTGCACTCATGGATATTTTATTTTGCATTTAAATTCAAAATTTCAAGCATAGGTTTTCATAAATGATTTTGATGGAAAAAACATATTGGACCAAATTATTTCAGGCGCTATGTTGCCCACTCTTCATGGCACATTTATTGGATTAATTGGCTGATGATTTTTACATCTTTTGGAATCCACAGAAGTCTGTGCTTTGGATGCTTTAGAATTCATTTGCACTTTACTTGCTACTATTGTTATTAAATGAAGTGCCTTCGATAAAAAGCTGCTGCAACAAAATATGGTTTGCTGGGATTTGCAGCTTAGCAACTTGCTTTGTGAGAAAGATGCTTTTCCTTCTGAGGATACTGTCTCCACTAGAGAGAAGGAATGACTGCTTGTGTCAAAACGTATGTTGTCAACTATGTATAATTAATCATAATGCAGGACCTAGAATATTAGTTTTTCTTATGCATTTCGAACTGGAGTCCATGGTTGAAAAAAGTTGTATTTTGAAATTCAAAATACACAAGGACGGTGCATGTCTAGCAGTATTCGAGAAGTATAACAAGACTAATTAACATTCTGCTTTACCACTTTATCCTTGTGTAGACTGAATTTCATGAATATCATGCTGTGGCATCAGTGTTTCTGCATCTTGCACATGGCTAGCTTAATCCCCTAAAAGTGCACATTATCTTATTATTCCCTACCACAGGCACGAGCTCTCCATTTTACATGAAAATTGTGTTTTGAACAGGGGCTGCTATTTCCAAGTTGCAAATACAGTAAGACTTGGAATGTCAATTCCTGTTGCCTTCAGAATGGCACTGGACACTTGGGCATCATGGGTTGAGAAAAGGATTGACACAAATAGAACACATGTCTTCTTTCGGACATATGAGCCATCTCACTGGAGGTACTCTTTAATTCTGAAACCACATTTGGCGGGATCCCAAAAATGCTTAGCTGTCTATTTTGTGTAACTGCTAAAAATCTAGTATATGTTTCAGTGCAAGATTTTGTCATATAACCTGTCCTGCCTTTTCTCATTGAAGAGTATTATTATAAAACTATCTTCGCTCCTGCCTGTTCTCATTGCAGAGTATTACTGTAAAACTATCTTTGCTCCTTTGCTTTTCCTTTCTTTTTCTTTGTGTTTACCAAAACTAACGTTACTTCTCCCAATGATGGGCGTATTAAAGCTTCATGCATGTTTATTAGCAGTTTCTATTCACACATTTTATCATCTCGTTTATTTACTCTACTTGTTTCCTTATTTTTAAATTCACCAGATGTCTATAAGTTGCACATTTACTCTCTTTGATGTGACTAAATATGATTTTTTTAATTTTTTTTGGAATCAGTGAACAATCTCATAGGCTTTGCAATGTGTCCAATATTCCAATCTCAGAAGCAGGAGGCAAGGACAGAAGTGTATTTTCAGACACAATATTGGAAGCGGTAAAAAATCTGACAGTTCCTATAACTGTACTCCATATAACCTCCATGTCAGCTTTCAGGAGTGATGCACATGTGGGCAAGTGGAATGGCAATCCATTTATACCTGATTGTAGCCATTGGTGCCTACCTGGAGTACCAGATATGTGGAACGAAATTTTACTGTCGTACCTGCTATCCCCATCATGAGCTTCCTCTCAGATTAATCGCAGCGGAATGTGAGTATCACTTCCTATATTTTTCATTTACTTCAATGCATCTAAGCATAATTTATTATCTGCTCTCCTCTATCTCCGTCTCTTTCTGTAATGTCCGCATAAGTATGTTTTTGAGTGTTGAGTGGACATATATTTGAACCTAAGTCCTGCTTTGACCCCATTTCATCCTCCAAGGGAAACCTAGAAAGCCAAATAACTCCTGCTTGCATCAGCAAACGGACTTAATACTTTCTTCTTTGTGAGTTATTACCATCTCTGCTAAGGGCAGTCATTCATTTTTGTTCACAGTATAAAATGACTTCTTCTATGTCAGTTTCTATCAGCGCTTATACTTGTTTGTCTTGGTTTAGGAACATTCTGCTAGAAAACTGGAGAAACAGGAGCAGGAATTTATGCTCTGCGTTGTCACTTACCTAGTCTTAATTTTTGCACTTGCTGCTCAACAGCATAGACATTCTCTGACGTTGAAAACCCAGTCTCCAATATGAACAGGGAATTAATCACCACAAAAGCTCCCATTTCAGTTATTGATGGAAAATTTTCCGTAGAAATAAAAGGTGGGGGACATACACTTAGAACAATGTTTCAAGTTGATTTTCTTTCCTCGTTGCAGATTGAAAAGTGTACATTTACTACCTGTCAAGTCAGCCAAACCCCACCTCTTGTCCACGAGCAGCTCTGGTGTGAATTGTGAAGCCAGAAGAATTGAGAATATTTGGTCTGGGCTTTCTCTCAGTTTATACTTGTTATCTTTTGTTTACTGAAGCTATGTTGCAATACTGATTTTGCACCTGGTGTTTTGATGAAAGTGTAGGTTACACAGAAAATACAGTTTTGAAGAGAACCAATTTGTTCATTCTTTTTGCAAATTTTTGGTTGTTGGGAAGGGGCTGAAATCTGGTCTCCAATGTATAACAATTTTGTCAACCTTGTAGTAAAAATGATGGTTCTGCTTTTTGTTCCTTGAACAAAATGGCAAGGGGAAAGTGATGAAATAGAAATTCTCTATTGTATTTGTCAATTCTTGAATTGGTGCTTGTGCTTTTGAGACAGCTTGTTGTATTACATTGTGATAAGAAGGTTGTCTTTTTATATTTTTGAGGACCCGCTTTCATGTTCATCTCTGCTCTGCAAGTTCCTTTTGTCATAAATAAGCAACAACCACTAGCCCCGCGAACTTGCATGGAAACAAAGTCAGGTTTGGAGTTGTGAAGATGAATGACTTGAATATAGCCCTCAAAAACTAACTAAATTGAGAAAATATTTTCTATGATTTCAGTATTCATGAGAATCTGAGAAATCTTAAGAATGAAATCTCCAAGAATCTCTTAATATATTATAGAAAATGATGTAAATTTGATTCCTAATATATTATGCAGTTCATCCTACAGAGCACCCAGGTTGCTTCTTCCAGAGTTGGCCCCAGTCATTTTTATATGTTTTGTTTGATGAGAAGATAGATCTCCATCTTAAGTACTTTATCAGTGTACAAAAAAAATTAACCAAGATTTCCTTCTTTTTTTTTTCTTACTAATTTATCTTTATTTGCTCGCAAGGAAATTTCAATTCATTTTTACATGCTCTCATTTGACATTTTCCTGCTCATATATCTCACAATCATTTTTTTTTGTTAGATTTAAAAAATAAAATAAAATTTAAAAAAAATATTATTTTAATATATTTTTAATTAAAAAAAATACTTTAAAAAAACACAGACACAATATAACAGTTACCAATAACACACTAAAAGACTTTATAAACTGGGTAAACTGTATCTCATTTTCGTATTTCACCTGCCTTTACCATGTAAGCTACTGTCGAAAACAATTTAACCGACCTCATGAGATTGGAAGCCACCTCTATGCCTTCATTCCCTCCACAGTCCAGTGCCCAGCGTTTAAGGAATTCGACATGATTGCACAATGTAGGGTTCACAGTCTTTGTTCTTCAAATAAAGATTATCAAGGGGAAAAAAAAACATCAGAGGCAGAGCAAGTCATTATCAGAAAGAATCAAAATATGACTATTACTAATTGGTCAATGTATAGACGAGTCATACTAATCTACTCCATTGATATTCCTATCATGAGATGTAGAAAGGACACCTCTCAAATAATCAGAAAAACAAAAGAAGTGTTTTTTAATGCAATCAATGACAACACCTTGTCAAACTTAGCATGTGAGCAAAGTTACTCAAAGCTTAGAAGCATGCAAAACATTTAACAACTGAAAACTCTTCTCGAGAGTCGATAGTATAAATAGGCAAAAGCAGAACTCATAATATTCGTATCTCAGCAGCAGCAAAACATAATCTGTCAGCTTCCATCTCTTTCCCATATTGAAATGGCTCCCCTTGATAACTATGACTACAACTTCCCATATTTTCCTCGACCACCACCACATAATCCTCCATCCCCTCCAAAAGTCGTGTCACCTCATAATTATCCATCCCCTCCAAAAGGGTCCCCACCCCATAATCCTCCGCCACCACACATTATACCCTCCCCTCCAAAAGTTGTCCCACCTCATAATTATCCATCCCCTCCAAAAGGGTCCCCACCCCATAATCCTCCGCCACCACACATTATACCCTCCCCTCCAAAAGTTGTCCCACCTCATAATTATCCATCCCCTCCAAAAGGGTCCCCACCCCATAATCCTCCGCCACCACACATTATACCCTCCCCTCCAAAAGTTGTCCCACCTCATAATTATCCATCCCCTCCAAAAGGGTCCCCACCCCATAATCCTCCGCCACCACACATTAAACCCTCCCCTCCAAAAGTTCCTCCACCACATCATCCAATTACTCCACCATCCCCGTTCCCAGTGCCAGTAACACCACCCAATCATCCATTTCATCCGCCACCATCACCACCTCATATTATTCCACCTGCACCCTCTCATGTTATTCCACCTCCACCGCCAACACCAGGACATCATTCAACTGTTATAATTGTTGTCTTTGTCTCACTTGGTGGCATATTCTTTCTTGCATTCCTCTCTGTTGCTCTCTGTTGCTTCATTAAGAAGAGAAAGAAGAAAACGGTTCAGAAAACTGAAATCTTAGAGTTTGATGAGCATGCTAAAGTCCAGGAAGCCATTATTCCAGGCCCACATGGTGAGAAAATCACAGTACTAAACATTGAAGAGGATGTGCATCTTGTGGAGGAGATTAAGAAAAATGAAAAACTGGCTAAAGGTTCGCACATTAAATTGGCACATGATCATCTCCTGGATTCTGATATAGCAACACCCTCTTCTCGGTCCAATCAGCAGCATCTCGAGCACAAGGTCTGATTGAAACACAAGCGAATGAAATAAGCGGCAATGTAATCGTATATTCCTCACCATCAACAATATCCCTACTGGGATAATACATGAAAAATTTCTTTTTCAAAGTTGTCGATACTTCTGTTTTAATAAAAAGTAAAGCTTGTTGGACAGTCAGGTCATGCTCATTCATATTAGAAATCCGAACCACACCAAGAAATTAAAATCAGAATTAGCACTATGCCAAAGAGATGAAATTACATCTCCAATAAAATATTGACATTATCGCAAACTGGACACTCATCTAACCTTTTAACACCCTAATTTGAGTGAGTGATCATGCAACATCGAATTAAACAGAAAACAACAAGCGCACACTTTGAGGCTTCACATGATAATACTGTTATAGCATCTGATACTAGCTACAGAAAAATATATCCTCTCATATCAGAAACTATTTTCACCTTAAAAAACATCAAGTATTTAACTGACATTTAAACAAGGGGGGTCCCTGATATTGGCTACAAAAGGTACCATGCTCATAATGAGAATCATCATTTTACTCAAACCCACTTCTGTAGCATTATCATAATTGTCATCAACCATTATAATTACAGGGACTGGTGTCAAGTCTGGGATGACATCAGAATATTGCCTTTGCTTACTAAATGATAGTTATGAAGCCAAGCCACAAATTGAAAATACTAAAAAATAAATTGATTTGACATACATGTTGGGCTTGCGTAGTGATATTACACGGGGAACATCCTAAGGGAAAGTTCTAGACATTATCTCCACCTGGTTACAAATGGTATTCCACTGCTCATTGAGGATTTATATGAGTCTAAAATCTTGTATGTGAAAGTTTGGGCTATGACCATGTCAGATTGACATGCTAACCATATCAAAATATCTTTTCTAAAGAAAGGTTTTTTGGTTTTGAGAGGGGAAAAGGTTTGAAACTTGTGTTAAATGTAAATGAATCTTCATATGGTATTACCCTAATTGGTCTTTGAGTATAGGGTAAAGAATTGATTATGTTAAAGAAAGAATATGATTACCTTAAAGTATCTTAAAGTATTTTTCCTGAGAGAAGCTGCAAAGGGTACCATGCTCATAATGAGCATTATCATTTTACTCAAACCCGCTTCTATAGCATTATCATAATTGTCGGCAACCATTCGCTGGGATGGCATCAGAATACTGCCTTTTGTTACTAAATGATAGTTATGATGCTAAGCCACAAATTGAAAATACTAAAAAATAAAACTGGAAAATCTGATCTTAAAGGATAGCGGCCATACCCGTTTAATTGCACTCAACAAGCAATGAACAGTTGTCAGTTAAGATGCGAAGCCAAAATGTATTTAGATTTCAAGGACAGGGTAGTCCAAGCTTTTCCTTCTAAGCTAGTCATACCATGCCATATGTCTGAACAAGGAAAGAAAAACAAATGACCTGATCAACTGCAATGCCTGTGGTACAATAAATCATCCAGTGAGTGTGATATTACAAAATTTTATGAAAGGGAGCATGATGAAATATTAATAACATGGATTTCTAGTTCAAAATCACCAGGCAACATTAGCAACTTGATCATTCTATCTAAAATTTCACACGTCACTTTTGTCAATGGATGAGAATGACATCCTTGGTAGAATTTGTGTACTGTTCCTGCTATTGTTATCCAGCTACAACCAGGAGTTTTAGCCAAACCCAATTCTCTCATCTTTGCCCTGGTTATTTTTATACCATCTGAAATACCATGAGATTTGTAAATATAACACAAGGCTATATAGTTTCCGGGGTTACTTGGTTCCAGTTCAAAAAGACTATGAGCTGCTATTTCACCAATATTGACATTCTGGTGCATCACACAACCACCCAGTAGCGCACCCCAGACACTCGCAGTTGCTTCTAACTTCATTCTCTGTACTAATCCAAGTGCTTCCTCGAGATAGCCAAAACGACCTAAGAGGTCCACCATACAAGCATAGTGCTCTACACTGGGTTCAAACCCATAATGTGATTGCATTGAATAAAAGATCCTCCGGCCTTCATCAATTAGACCTGAATGGCTGCAACTAGCCAAAACTGCAGTTAGTGTGACAGGGTTAGGTTTAAGTCCAAAACCTTTCATTTTCTTAAAAACTTCCAGAGATTCCTCTGCTCTCCCATGAACCCCATAACAGGATATCATTGTGGTCCATGTAACAACATTCAAACTGCGCATGTTCCTGAAAACCTTTTCTGAATCATTCAAGCACCCACACCTGGCATACATATCAATCAACGAGTTACTAATCACAACATCCACATTGAACAAAGTACTCTTCACTACTCGCCCATGAATTTCCTTCCCTTTCATCAAGTCACCTTCCCCTCCACAAGCATTCAAAATACTCGGTACCACCAAAGCATCCAACTTTACCCCTTCCTCAACCATATTCCTAGCCAAATTCAAAGCCTCCACATAAAACCCTGCCCTCCCAAATCCAGAAATCATCAAATTCCAAACACCACAATCCCTCCACAACATATTAGAAAACACTCGCTTCGCCTCAACCAATTTCCCACCTTTCAAGTAAAAATCCAGAACAGAACTTCCCACAACAACATATCCCTCAAAACCAAGTCTAATCACCCAACCATGAAGCACAAATCCCAAATAACAATCTCCCACTCCAGCTACTGCCTTGAACAGTGGAGGCAACGTATAGTGATCCGGTCGAAAACCCATTTTCAAAAATTCATCAAAGATACAAACAGCATCAGAGTAACAATAATTATGCGCATACGATGACATCATAATATTCCACGAATGCATGTTTCTTTCAGGCATTCTATCAAACACTTTACGAGCTTCTTGAAGAAACCCAGATTTCGAGTAGGCTAACAAGAGATCAGTTTGAAGGGTAACGTTGCTGAGGTAGTTACTTAAAACGATTTGGGCATTGATTTGTTTGACTTGATAGATTAAAGAGTGATTGGCGCAGTTTCTTAGTAGAATCGAGAGGTGGTAAGCTGTTTTGTATGTCATTGGAACTTGGCTTATTGAATGTTTAACGGTCGAGTCATGAAATGGCGCCAAGGAGAAAGAAGTTGAAGAGATGCGGTGGTCAAGTTTCAGGCTGTCAGCTTGTAGAATATACCATTTATTTTACCCGTTCTTGGCTGCAGATAATATATTAAAAAAAAAAAAAACAGTTGTATATAGAAGCTTTATCAACATATTTTTATACATTAAAAAAAAATCAAGTGTAAATAAAAAATTTATTTTTATATATAATAAAAAAATTAAGAACTATATGTATTAATAAATAAATAAAATTATTAATAATAAATGAAGATGAAAATGAAAAAAATATATAAATTAAAATATTTGACTTTACAATACATGTCTTTACCGCTAGAATCTAATCATATCTCTCTCTCTTCTCTCTCAAATCATAATTAAAAAGCATCAAAAATAAATTTTTATATCAAAATTGATTTAAAACATTTAGAAAATATTCTAGACATCTTGATAAATCCATATACAACCTCCAAAAACATAAAAAAATATCTCAAAACTTAAAATCAACCTGAAACTAAAAATCTTCCTGAGTTCAAATCATTTTTTTAAACACTTTCAAGGTTAAAAAAAAAAAATTAATTTGAACTTCTCTCATCAAATCAAATCAAATTATTTAACATAAAAATAAATTATTTTAATAATTAGAATTGGTAACAATAAAATTTTTCTCTCTAAATCTAACAATCACTCACTCACTCTCTCCTCTCTTACACCAAGAACAAAAAAAAAATTATATTAAAATTGAATTGAGAAGATATTAAGGAAACAAATACATATAATACGTGAAGTTTAAGGACTAAAGTGATTTTTTTTAGAACTTTGAAACAATCACCCATTTGTGGCTTTTTTTCCAATTTTATCTCTTGTCTTTCAATTTTTTTTGTTAGTCAACAAATTTATTCAATTTTTCTTTAATTTGGCCAAAAAAATATAATCATGTAAAAAAAGGTTTGGGGATCAAAATAAAAAAATTTAAATAGTGAGTGCACAATAAAATTAGAAAGAGTATGAACAATGAACATATACATTAAAATACCTATGTCTTTTAGTGTTTTCTATAACTAGATTATGTATCCTTTCTAAGTTGCGGGTCAAATCAATTTAAAAAAATAGTTAAGTACATGTTTTCAAGAAAGAAAAAAATTAAATCAAATAAGGATTAATCTAATGTTACATTGTTAACTTGTCAAGTTTAAAAGCAACCTGAACAACAAGAGAAAAATATAGTTTGTCTTAAAAACTTTTAAGATGATATTTTTTTTTAATATATTAAAATGATAACATATTAGATGGATTCGGGTAAACCCAAATTAAAATGTAAAAATCATAGATTAGGTCATGAGATAGTGATAACATTATAGAAAGTAAATAAAAAAAACATATTGACATTCAATTCTCAAATAACTCAATATCAAAGAATGAAATTGAAATATAAATCAATTAAACAAAATAAGTTAATTAAGGTTAACCTATCAAACTTGCATCATGAGACCAAGATAATCTAATGGGAAGCAAATCAGAACAAATTATAACATTTAATTTCCAATTAATTCAATATTAAATGATGAATTTAAAAAAATCAATAAAAAAAATCAATATGCTAAGCCTTTGACTCATATCATAAGACTATGATAGCATCTTAGAAAAAAAACTGAAATAAATTATGAATATTAATTCCTAATTAACCTAGATATTTAATGATGAAATTGAAACAAAAAACAATTAAAAAACCCAGAAAAACAAGAATCAACTAGGTTAACTAATAACTCAGATTATAAAACTAAGATAACCTCGTAAAAAGCAAAAAAAAATAAATTATAAAATTTAATTCTCAATTAACATAAATATTGAAAAATAAAATTAAAAAAAAAACTCAATTACAAAAAAAGACTCATGAATGCTTGAATCATTTAAGTTAACTCGCAAAATTCATGCCCCCGTCATGAGACAAGGATAATCTCAAAGAAAATAAACTAAAATAATTTATGAATCTCAATCCTTAATAAGCTTTATATTAAACAATGAAATTGAAAAAAATAATAAATTTACAAGAAAAAAAAAGTGTTGTTCTGATGTTTTTTCTAATAATATCGATGTTTATGAATATAATTGGATCGAGTTTGGATCTATAATTATATATAATCTAACTTTTGGTATTTTATAAATTGTAAACTTAATCGATTCAATTTATTTAGGGATTAGAGTAAGTTGAACAAATCGGGTTAAACAAATTTTTTTTTATGGATATTATATAAATTTATAGGTTGAGTATATATTACTAATTTTCAACAGTCCACATTTAGAAGTGGGTTTATAGCATGGACTGTATATACCATAATATCCTTAATATTAGGTCTAATTTCTATATAATTCATCACTATTAAATTTTAGTTATCTCTTTATTCCGTTAAGCAAAAGAGAGAATTATTTTTTTTTTAATGTTAAAGAAATCTAATAGAAAGCTCAATATCAAAACTTTAATACTGAGACATTTTTAAATAAAATGAAAAAAATACTTAATTATAAATTATTAAATATAAAGATAAAATGAGTACATGATATACAAGTTGAATTAGATACTAAGTTTTAAAATTCCCAATATATCACTTAACCTGTTATATAAAATTTTTTAAATTTTTTATATTATTGTCATTTATAATATCCATATTATTTGAATTTGATACATGGAATTGAGTTAGAAAATGCAAACATTACCGATAAGTTGTGTTGTAACCCAATTTTGGATTAAATAAAATTTTTTAGGAATGTTATTTTATCTTATTATTCATGACAAAAAAATATAATAAATAAAAAAAGAAAAA